AACATCACCGGCAAAATAAGGCCATCGTTCCTGCTAAAAGTGATATACAGACAAATAAACAGAAGCACCCTACGACTGTTTTCTGTAAAAAATGTTTTGTGCTTGCGTATTTTTGTGGTAAACTTAAACCCATCTTTATGCCGATTTGAGACTTGAGACACAAGGCCAAAGTATGATTTCAAATGGAACTATAGTCTGGTGAAATGAACTGTCTTAACTCATCTTTTTTCTCCTACCTTTACGCCCTCAGCGGAAAACGTCAAAGGAAAAAAACGAGTGCGAATAAATGAGGATCCACTGCTGCACATAGTTGATGACTCTAAAAGTAGCAGGGCGGCCCGAGTGCCTTCGTTCTATATTGGAAAGTCGCTGGTTGATTTTGATGGAGGCACCGCAAGTGTAAGTAGAACTCAGTTGTTGACATCTAAACTTTCAGTTACGTTAAGAGGCGAGGTAACGTTAAGAGGTACATGTGTAACAGCTGAGCGGTATGATATTCATCCTTTGATAGTCATTTATTGAAGGCATGTGAGGGATGTTCTTAAACATGGTGGTGAGTATTGACAACGATTTCCCAATTGGCTGTGCAAGGTTCAACCGAATTTGGTCCCCTTGGAAACGACAAAGCCTTCTGAAGAAAGCTGTGGCTCTTTTAGCCAAATCAGCCCCTACTCACAACCTCAACTGAACTAACAAATACTTAACTTTTAACGTTAGACCCTACCCAGCGTTTTCTTTTGGAAGTATGTATACACAAGCTATGGAACCCTTTAATATTTTATTCTTTGTATCTGGGGCTTTTCAAGAAATATTTTCTCTACCTCGATCGGTTTTTTTCAGCGGCCCTCCAACACTTTTTCGGTGGTTAGCCGTCGTGGAAATTCCAGTGCAGATTACGTGTTCCGATTCAACCAAGCAAAGTCATTGTGTCTCTTTGGACCTCTAAATCCTATTAGGAGATTTGCAATTCGCCTGGTCACTAACAAGTATCCTTTTAAACAAAGGTCAACATATTCTAAAAAGGTAAATGCTAATGTACCCTGCGAGCAGTGGTTTCTCCAGGCCGGACGCTACGCTTCGTAACGCCAATGTAACTCTAACTGCAAATGTAATATAAATATAACAGTTCAGCAATCGTTCAATGCAAGGTTGTGCTTTCCAGATCGAAGTGGAAACACCTCTGGACTGCGAATTACTAATGATACTAAACACAGGCCACAATGTTTGGGCAACGCAGTTTATTGACTAGCAGAATAGACTCGAGATCAATAAAATAAAGCACTAAGGGTGGAGTGGGCGGGGAAACGTTGACTAGCTCCTCACTAAATGAAAGACTGAGCGATCTGAAAAACGATCCTTACGTGAGGCAGCTACTATACTGACAGCTATGGGGCTTGCTCTCTATTGGTAATTACCCATCATCACTTCGGGTGCTTTTGGTACTACTGAGAATAGTGTCTAGAGTTGTTAGGCGTTTGTTCATACCACCGTACCATCATTGTTTTACTACCTTGGAGTTGAATGCGTTTAATGGATCTATTTAGAGGTTTTGTTAAGTGAAACCATTCCAACCTGATTCTCGTTTTCCTCCCTCTTTCTCCCATAAATTAAAACATGAGTTTAGACATGATTGGTGAAAATAAAATAAAACGATCCCTTTGAATGGTACCGTAACCTTACTCATTTACAGTTTGAATCTGTGTTTGAAGCAGATCAATTTTCCTTAACTTTCATTTTAGATATTTTGAGTCATTTGTTATCCTTACCATTCTAATAAACTGTGTTTTTCTCGTACTTGAAAATCCACCCGATGAAGCTGAGTAAGTAAACCGAAAATTAGTTACTTTTAAAACTCAGAGCTTAGCTTCTTAGTGATATCCACGCGATCTCGTTCAAGTATATATTGGGAATTCAAAATTCCTAAGAATAATTTGCTAAGATTTGCGAATTCCTTCGGGTTACTTTTTTAATATAGCTTGCTTATACAACCGTTTCTCATCTCGCCTCCAGAGATATTTCGCGAAATGTCCCTAGGAGTAAAAAGTGAATATTCCCGGGGGTTCTTGAGAATCCTGGGAAATTTTTTGGTCAGTAATAACATCCTAATAATCTTTGAAATGAAACAGTTAGTATTTTAGCTTTGGAAATCCCGAACATTGCCAAGAATATAAAAACAATACAAAACAAAACAAAAATACATGAGCATTCTCAGAAATTCCCAGCATTTTCAAGCATTTTTATTGTTGCCTTCTAACTGAAAAAATACTAAGTGCTACATTTCCATTTTTCTTGTTCTCTCACGAGTCATTTTCCTCATCTTCTTTCTTTTCTTGTTTTCCTTGATGCAAATTAGGGCCTGTTATCTCAAGCATGTTATGGCATGACCCAGAGCCTAATTTGCATAAAATCAGTAAGAACCGTAATTTTGACAAGATATACCTCAACAGCATCAAACTTGGAAATAACATAAAACTGAATGTCCTTAAGTTATTGTTCACTCTAAGGTTTGAATTTTTGCGTCACGTTACCTTTTATTACAGTTTATTTTTACGCTAAGAGAAAAGTGAAAACGGACCGCCGAAATGACATACAACAGGTATATGTTGAAACACCAACATATTTTAATGGTTACCCGCTTTAAGAATCTGTCCTGAATGGCCGACTATATTTTACAGTTAAAGAGAAATTTTCAAAAATAGGCCACGTGACCTTTTTAATAGTTTTTTTTTAAAAAAAACTTTTTAATGAAATAAGATTTTTCTCCATTCGGGACACAAATTGTATTTATGCATCAATACTTTAAATACCGCATGCTTGTTTCAGATGTCACTTACGAAGTCATCAGACACATGACTGCTGTTATTAACTCTCAGAAGGTTTAAGGATGACAAAATATTTCTCCTAACTATTTAGGGACTGTGCAATAATTATCAGGAAGGGGGGGTCCTATAATGAGCTTCACCAAAGGAAAAATTAGATAGGTCTCCCCTCCAGCAGCGTCAATGATTAGCTCTGACCCCCCCTCACGTTCTGTCAACATTATGATGTGCCCCCCGACTCTAACCGGTATCTTTATTCACCATACTGCAACGCATTCCACTGCGTCGTCAGGGATAAAGTCTCAAGTCGGTTTAAACGTTCTGCATCTTGTAGAAGACCTGGATAGGGTGATGGCTAAATATAAAGCGACATTTCCTATTGGTGCCAAATCTAAAGCATTCAAATCAAGAAAAAAGAAGGAACAGAAGAAAAAAAGGGAGAAGAAGAGTTGGTTGGATGGAACCCCTCCCCGGAGTTTTTTATTGTGGCAGTATTTTGAAACAATTTTACCTTTACTGGAAAGCCTTTGATCGTCTTAACAAGATGAGGTATATTTAAGGGGTGGTGGCGCTGCTTTTGACCTGTGACGTCACCAACAATGGTCGCTATATTGGGCTTCAACTTGGATTTTGCCAAGAATTAGAAATCAAACATGTATTTTCACCCAAAATTGGCTTGACCACCTGCTACTTATGATGTCATATCTCGTAGCCATAGCAACTGACCATCACTAAACTTGTCTCAAAATGTGTGCCAGGATGAATGAACAGCTAATGAAAACGTCAGGTACTGATGTTTTATCCACTCAGAAAAACCTTATGGGGGGGGGGGGGGGGGGGTGGGGGCGTGGCATCCACCCCCATAAGTCGGGCTGGCTCGGCTCACATTTTTTTTTCGTCATAGGAATTGTGTTGGGTTAATGAGAAGGCCATCCCCAGCTCTAGCCGAGATCTCTCTTTGTGCAACCGAGAACTTGGCAAGTCGACCAGCCTTCTCATATGAACATAACGACATTATAAGAAAACAAAGTATGAGCCGAGCCACGCTATCACCCCATATAAATCATATCATCATTATCATCATCGTCACCACCACCACCACCATTATCGTCATCATCACCATCACCATCACCAACATCATCTTTGTCGTCATCATCATCATCATCATCGTCATCATCGTCATCTTCATCATCATCATCATCATCATCATCATCATCATCATCATCATCATCATCATCATCATCATCATCATCATCATCATCATCGTCGTCATCATCTTCTTCTTCTTCTTCTTCTTCTTTTTCTTCTTCTTCTTCTTCTTCTTCTTCTGTATATCGTATTGGGCATCTTTGTATTGTATAGGATAGTGGCCGTGTTTTTTGGTGTTTTATCGCTTTTATCTTTTCGAAAACAAAACCGGTCTTGTATGGTGCAGATACTTATGCTGGAGAAACGTCCTTTTTTTTACCAGGTACGTATTCAGTGGAATCTACACCATGGAGATGGTTATGAAGATTTTATATTTCATACCCACGCATACCTTAGAGATGGATGGAACTGGCTGGATTTCATAGTAGTCCTATTAGGGTATGGTGTATTAAACAGAGGATAAAATGAACAACATGTTCCTTAAATAGCGGATTTGTAGAAGACTGTAAGGTTGTGGTGCACTCTCACAACCTTACTTAGGGGTGGTTTACTCGTACGGGCATAAGCGCTTAGGGGTATAAATTGCATATTTTGGTCTCACTTAGGGTGTTTGGGACGGAAAGTCACCATTTATACTTGCTCATTCAGGTATCGCTTAGGGCTGTGCATAAAGAAATCTACAAAAATGCGGTTATGTCTGTTTTAGTATGGTCTTCTTTAGAGGTCAGTTAACGTTCACTCTTAAGCCACTCCCACGTTGGTCTCCCTTAGAGGTTTAGTTTTAATTTTCCGATGAGCATCCCCGTCACTTTTATCTAATATTACAATCTCTTATAATACTTATAGACACTTAGTATTTTCAAAGATCGCTCAAGAAAAAATGAGAACAATGTTCTTCGAGTGATGAAATTGACGTTGCATCTTCAAGTTATCACGTCTAAAGAAACTGACTTTTGTAGATGAAATTTTTGTTCCCTAAATGTTAAGGAAGCACCAGACAGGAGAAACTTTGATTTCTTCAGGTATATCACCATGGCACCAAATATCGCTAACTTGACGGGAATCAGAACAATTAGAGTGCTTCGCGCCTTGAGGACCATCTCTGCCTTGAAAGGTAAATGTAAGTGTGTAGCTCAAGTCACGTACATAGAAGCAAGACGTAGTTAAAACTCCAATGTGGCATACAAAACACGTAGTGACATTATTTACTTATAACTAATGGGATATCCTTTTTACCTCATTTGCTTTAAGGTCTCCGTGCAGTGGTGAATACATTATTGTCTTCTCTGAAGCTGTTGAGTGATGTCCTGATTTTGTTTATATTCTTTCTCGGTGTCATGGCGCTTATTGGACTCCAGCTGTTTTCTGGACAACTGAGAAACAAATGTGTTCTTAACATTCAGTATGCTAATAGTACAGAGAACAAACAAGAGCGAGCTCTAAACGAAAGTAAGACAAGCATCTGAATTAAATTAGGATACATGTGCATAAGGCTACACTGAAGAGTGTTATCATCACCATCAATGCTATCATAACCATTACTCGTATTGAATGAGGCTGAGTATGATATGAAGAATTATTCAGATCGAGGAGAATTTTATCCACGGGGGCCGAAGACAGAGGCGGACCAAATCCTCCAAGATCAACATACCTCTTCACAGCATACGAAAGCTGGATTCTATGACTGTTATTATTATTCATTCAAAATATAATTCATCATAACCAGCAGTTGTTGACCAAATTTGGAAGAAGTTTTCGATATCTGGAAAATAACGTCAATTCTACAGCATATATTGGCAGAAAACTGAACAGTTAACCGAGAAGACCTGGCCACGAGGTTGAGTTGTTTTGGTAGTGAGTACAAAATGGCGTAACTTTTCACTCGTTTCGAGAGCAAGAAACAGGCGAATTATTGGCTAAAAACATAGCCATGATAACAGCAAGAATATAGCTCGACGGACGACATCTGCTATTTGGAGAATATTTCCAGAATTGAACAACCCTTTATCTCCTAAACTTGCCAATAAACATGCAATCGAAGACGAACTTGGCGATGGCGAGAAATAGACTTTAAAAATTGTAACGCCGCTACCATGTTAGAGTTTGAACAATTTGTTCGCATTTCGCGGGCTTGAAGTTCATTTTTGGCGCCGCTTTAACTCGTGTCCAGTGTCTTCCGAGAATAGAGCCTAGTCCTTTTTTCAGAAAAATATACTTTTGTGCCTCCCGTTTTTACACTAGACGACTTTAACGTCTCTAGCATAAAAACGGCCATTTTGAATGAATAATAATCACCTGTACTGTCGTCATCATCGTTATATGATAGACTATTAGTGCAGATAGTAAGCTCTGCCTCAAAGTTTAAATGGCTATTTCTGACACAATCTCTATAAATGTCATCAACACTAAGTATGTTAATCATAATCTGATATCATATTTTCACGTCATGCCTCTCCCAGTGCTCATTAATATGCTCATCATGTTTTTTTCGTCATCACCGATGTCATCTTTAATTTTGCAAAGTAAGGATTTATCTTAAGGCAAAGGTTTTATAATTCATATAGGCAAGTCTCTCTCATCATACAAAAAAATAACTTTTTTTAACGTTGTGTTGAACGGAACCTGGGACCTCTGAGTAGCAAGAATAACGACATTATGGGTATTTTTACTTTCAGGGTTTTGGTTTCTTAATGACGGCGATCCTTTGATTTGTGGGAACAGTTCAAGTGCAGGGTACATTTTGTAACATATGCATAATCATATAATCAATAAATTTATTAGCTTATTTATTAAATGACTAAAATGCTTCTCTTTTCCTTGCCTAGTCGGGATCCTATCTGCAATGTATCAACACTAGCTTTTGTTACGCTGTACCTTCAACAGAACACCGCGTTAGTCATTTCCGTAGAAAATCCATTGTACTGTATATACAGTGCAAACAATTAGCTTATCAAGGCTACAGATATTATCAATTGATTTTGTGCTCTATTCGTTTTCCCTGATTAAGATCTTGTCCATCCAATAGCCTAATAGCTTATTTATTAAATGACTAAAATGCTTCTCTTTTCCTTGCCTAGTCGGGATCCTATCTACAATGTATCCACACTAGCTTTTGTTACGCTGTACCTTCAACAGAACACCGCGTTAGTCATTTCCGTAGAAAATCCATTGTACTGTATATACAGTGCAAACAATTAGCTTATCAAGGCTACAGATATTATCAATTGATTTTGTGTTCTATTCGTTTTCCCTGATTAAGATCTTGTCCATCCAATTACACATGCATGCCTAACGCTGGTCCAAACCCAAATCATGGTTACACGACATTTGACAACATGGGTTGGTCTCTTATTATGGCTCTGCAAATACTAACAATGGATTTCTGGCAAAACGTTTACAACAAGGTAAGTATATCAATTGAGATCTTCTCTGGGTATAAGAAGGAAACTGAAGGAAACATAAACATGTGCCATAAGCCAGAATTCGTCAGTCCTACTTCAGGCAGTAAGCCGTGGAAAAGTGGTGAAAAATATTTAAGTGACTATCGTGATACAAACTATAAACTGTCGTGGTGTAACCAGCAAATCTGAACACTTATCATTCCTATTAGATTAACAGATCCTCTGGAGCGCAGTACGCGCCATATTTTGTCATTGGAATATTCTTCTGCGCCTTTTACCTGATGAACCTTGTATTGGCGATGGTGTACTTATCATATGAACAGGAATTATCTTCAGACGGAAAGGAGGTACTTTTAGATATCCGCAAATTCAATCAACATAGGTAGGCCAACTCAAAGACTGAACCAACCAGTGTATCAGTTGTTTTTTGTTTTTCACGGTGCAATTCCTCGAGACGAAACGTTCCCCTCGTCCCTAACAAGTTTGACAATTGTTGATGAGTTAAACCAAATTTCGTTACCTTTCCCTCCAAATGTTGATTCACAACCAACTAAGACAGCGAAAGCAAGGAGCAAACACTCAGATGAAGGGCCTGTGTTAAAAAATACTCTCTTCTCTCTTCCTTATCAGTTAGTCCTGTCTTGCTCTGAACAATTCATTTCCACTCTAGCTGCTTTGTGCAGTATATTATACATGTACATCCCCATTAATTTGTCCCCAAAGGTGGTGCAGCGGCAGTGATGATTGACCAGATTGATTATCCTCTACTTGCCTGGTTTTATGACACGAGATTGAAAACCGTTCTATTTATTTGGCAGAATAGATGCGGAACTATCTTACATTGTGTTGTTTTGTGTGCATGATTTATTAGGGTGAAAAGATGGATCAGCGACGGACTGGTTGTTCATATCAAGCACATGAGGGAATGTTGAAACGTCTTACTCTATTAGGTAGCAACCAAACGCCTCCATCAGAAGATGAAGCCAAAGATGTGGATTCTAACGCAGCAAAGCTCCGTGAATCATTTCGCCAATTCTTAACAGCCAGGGTATTAACACAAAGGTCTGAGACAAACAAAGTAACGAGCAAGGTTCTGTCTCGTATAAAATCCTGCTGGAAAATGGTACGAAAGTGCATGCAGCAAATCACCTCCCATCCTGCATTCGATTTGGTGCTTCTACTGCTAATAGTTTTGAACACAGTTGTTCTGGCAATGTACTACCATGGTATTCCTGCCGAGTTTTGGCGCGTCTTGGATATTTTGAATTGGGTGAGTAAAAGTTAGTGATCGTTTACATGAATCTGGGATAGCAAATCTAACTGTTGATTTATTAGACAGCTCCAGTTGTAGGTAAGTGTGGACCATCTGTGATCATTTTGACAATGTTAATCTAATACCGTAGTAGCCTGTATAAGAACCTCCCTTGGAGCCGAACGATCGCTAGTAATATTGCTTTCGGTTTTAGTCAACAGAACATAAGTACTATACTGTAAGATGATCTGTTTTGCACGCTATATTTATGAATGAATAAGTAAATCACTGAGATTCGAAAATATGACATCAATGCCTTGTTTCTTTGCTAAATAGGTGTTCACTGGGTTGTTTACTACTGAGATCCTGATTCGTGTGGTCGCTATGGGACCGACAGCATTTGTCCGCGTTCGATGGTACTTGTTTGACGCAGCTGTTGTGGCAGCCAGCTTAATGGGATACTTAATACATGCTGATGGACTCAGTGTATTTAGAGCCCTTAGAATGGTAAGCAATACAGGAATCATTTCATTCCGAGGAGAAAGAAAGAAGTTATTGAGGTCACAATTGAGAAAGAACTACGTTGACAACTTTGAACTTTGAAAATGTCAAGATTTTGATGACTCTCTTTTATGATAGCTAACTTGTTCGGAAAGGAAACCAAGGAAATGTTCGCAATTAAAGTTAAAAGATCGCAAGAAATTCATAATTCTTAGACAAATTTCGTACCGTCATGTTTGTAACTGAAGTTTAAGGTGGCTCGACCCAGTGTCTTAATAAGCACATCCTCCACCTCACTCATTCCACCTTAAGTGGGTAAATTACCATTTTTTGGTGTCCATGGCAAGTTTTGAGGCCTCAAATTGTTTTCCAATAATCATTTCGCTGAGAAATACTTAAAATATGCCCAAATAAATAGCGACAGTATCCCTTTGTACTCCTGTAGACAGTAACTTTGAGGGAATCAAGGCCAAAAGTGTCCAAAAAATGCAATTTTGCTATGTTCGCAGAGAGAGTGGGTATAGAAGGTTACGGTATATTTGTGCTTTTCGCCTTATACTATGGAAACTAATCAACCCAATGTCTCGGGAGGGACCTAAACTAAAGTCCTACAGGATCATTTCTCACTGCAGGTCAGTTTTGTTGCTTTTAACTACAGTGAACTGGTGTCCGCTATTTTTATGAAACTTCCGTTACCGATCTGAGGGCAGATCACAAATGGCCTAGAAATAACTATTGCGAATGATTTACATCGGGTAAATATTACTTAAGTTTGCTCTTTTTGATAGGCAATACATAAAATGAAGAGCAAAAGCCTGGGGAAAGAAATTGCATCTCACAATAGCAAGATTTAGGGTGAACAGTTAAGGTTGTAACTTCCGTTACTAAAATTACAGTAGGAAAAAATGAAAAGTGGGTCTGGCTGATTTTTGTGGTGACGGAGGAGCTAGTGAGGATTATTATGGAGTATGTTTGGTTTTTCCGAGTTATTAATTTCACTTGAAGATGTAACAGAAAATGTAGAATTTTAACTTCCGTTACCAAGAATATGTCCGGTCTCTAAAACATGGGATAAACGTCAGGTAAATTTCTGGAAATGCTGTCACACGATTGCCCCATCAAACAACTCAAGCCTTGATGACATCTGGTGAAGATTTCGTCATAAGTACACCCTCATACGTGTTCCATTGGTGAGATACCTCTCTGTCATGTGTGATAAGGGAATTTTAGCTGAGTTTATGGTTCGCGGAGTTTTTTTGCATAGTTTAAAGAAGTTTATTTTCCTTTGAAGTATTTCTGGGCAAACTAGGAATATAAGATGAAAATGGGACAGGCTTCTTGATCATTTTAATTTTTTTTTAAAGTAACGGAGGTTACACAAAACAGGAAGTGGATTATCTGAAGCTGTTTTCGCTAGTTCAACCCTCTTTTCCGTAAATGAACTTTACAATATTCATGTATTGCAATTCTTGTACGAATTCTAACATATTACCATGTCAATTCAATTTATTTTGCTCATTTTGTTGTCTTTAGCCTCTTTCCACCCAAAAATTCCAAAATTTCATCCAAAATTGTTTAGCATTAATTCAATTCAATAGAATAAGTCATATGCATTGTTACTTAAGATGGTCTGTAACCCCAAAAGTAAGTAGTTGGAAGAGAAATGAAATATTACCTTCCTTCTGTAACTACCGTTACCGAAGTTTATTTGACAATCACTGGTTTTCTACTACATCACATGTTCCCAAACTATAATAAAGGTAAACAACACTTTCTTTCCTTCACATTTAGCTAAATAATGTTCAGTCTGACAGCTTTCTTAAAGAAAAAACATTAAAAAAAACACAGCAATTTTAAATTCTCAATATTTAGTTACGTCAGACTAAATTAAGTACACCATGGCAGAACAACTTGACTTTTTCATTCCTTGAGCCACTGACTTGACTAAAATGTAAAACTCAGACCTTAGCCTGCCACTGATTTCATTTTAGACATTTTAGAGTACGCTAAATTAAAAAAAAAACATAGATATAATGCGACACTGTGCTATTTCAAGCCATACAAAATATCACACTACATGCTATTAGATAACAGGCTATAACTTTTTATAGATAAAAGATATGTTGACCAAATTTTGGTTTCTCACCCTTCAATAATACGTTTTTCGGTTAAACTAACTACTTGTCTGATTTGTTGACCTTCGATTTTTCGAAAATCCTTGGTACATTTTACCCACTTAACGTGCAATGAGTGACCTGAATCTCTTATACTTAAACAAATCGTTTTTTATTGTAAAACCATTATAACACATGGATTACACTTACACTAAACTTATCATGATATCATTTTTTGGGCGATCGGAATATATGTCATGTGACATTGACGTCACCATGGATTTTTCTGAAACTTCGCACAGCAGAAGAAATAGACCTTTTTACCGATACGGCGGCCATATTGAATTAATTCGTTTTAAGGAGTATTATAGGATGCCCAGGGGGCATGAGCACATTTCGTTTGTATTTTCGAGCGCTTTTCGGGACATTTTTTCTTAAAGTTTTCTTAGAATAAGATTGTAATGGGAAAAAAGATCCTTGTGCCGTGTTTGGATGTAATATTGATCGCCTTTTTCCTGAGAAATATACAGTGGAAGACCATATTTCTAATACTAAACTAGAAAAAGGTCCATTCATCCAAAGAATACGTAGCGTAAAGCATTTCGAAAGAAAATGCCGAACTGGGCTGAAATTCGATTTAGAGCTCAAAGCATCGTGACGTCATTGTCACGTGACGTTTATTCCAATTGCCTAAAAAATAATATCATGATAACATTTAGTCTAGCCATGTAATCCATGTGTCATAATGGTTTACAATAAAGATCGATTTGTTAGTATGAGAGATTCAAAGATAGAGGTTCGTGTTAGCTTCTGTTTGCTCACATAAGATTAACTCTCTCCCATTTAGGTACGACTCTTGCGTATGGCGAAATCCTGGAAGACGATGAAAAGACTGATGAAGGCCATTGCTAGAAGCATAGAACCTGTGGGAAACATCACACTTATTCTAGGTGTAATTACCTACATTTTTGCTGTCCTAGGAATGAAGATATTTGGCAAAGATTATAAAGCGGATAAGTTTGGTGATGATGGAATGCCACGCTGGAACTTTAGTGATATCTGGCACGCATTCTTAATGGTTTTTCGTGTGTTAAGCGGAGAGTGGATCGAGCCTCTCTGGGACTGTATGAGGGTCACAAGCGCTGCCAAGGCCATCCCTTACTTTCTAACAGTTCTCGTCATTGGAAACTTTCTGGTGAGTAGCATTTGAGAGTGAGAAAAGGATTGACTACTTTGCTCAGAATGAACAAACAGTATGTTAGGTCATGTCCAGATTGAGGAACTAAGACTATGGCAAAATAACTGGCTGCCCGGATCCACTTACTCCTTCCATAAGTAATTTTTCAGTCTTCACATTATGAAAAAGCTTATTGAGTACGGCATATTGGTTACTAACTTTATCAAAAAACAAGCGAAGATAGACTGTAAGGCACAAGGAATGATTATTTCAAACTTATTGATTGATCGATCACTATTCTCATACAGCTTCTAAGTTCTGATAGTCTTGTTCTTTACCAGGTCCTCAACATGTTTGTCACTCTAATGGTGAACGCCTTTGACTTCCGAGACAAAGATGATAATTCAGATAGCGTAGATGGTTCAAAGTCTGCCATAAAAAAGATATTTAAAACACGCAGGTCCTGCCTTTTGGAGGAAAATTATCGTGGTTCTCTTCGTCCTTGCAAGCTTAAGGTTATAGAGAGTAAACACCCTGATGAGCAAAGCAATGGCATTTCCTTGGCAATACACAAAGGTGATCATGACTGCAAAGAACATTGTAAAAGTATAGAGATAATATAGTTTTTTACCAAGAAAACATATTTTTAATTCGAGTGTACACATATTTTTAATTCGAGTGTACTCCAGTTTTTAGCATACTTTCTAAATCACCTTTTTTGTTGTCCATACATAAACAATACCATGAGTATGTCACTCTTTGTCTACACACCATCCATATTTTTAATTTTTTGTTTCCTTTTGTATAATTTCCAATCTACTTCCTTTCTTCGAATTACGATATATTTTTTATCATTAATTCAAACTAATCCAAGCCTAGTTTAAGTAGAAGATTTTGCGGGGGATTTATTGTGAAACTCGGAAAACCATGAACAACGAACGTATTTCTGGAATGTGATTGTGTTGCAAGGAAAAAGCCAATCAGGTGTGGGAAAACTTAAAGCAGCATTTAACAAAGGTAGTAGTTTTGTGGCCTGCTTGCGTGCAGCTAGTTTTGTTTGTTGTGATTGGTCACAATTCAATATCTTTAGTGTTCACGGTTTTCTTTCTTGACAAAACACCAATCAGAAACGGACAAATATTTTGAATGAATTTTGTTGTATAAGGCAGTGGGTTGGTAGTGGGTCTATGGACATATATGTCCTCGATGATATCGGCTATCTTTTATTATGTTCAAGATCACCTTTAATACATATTTTAACGTCCATGAATTAATCCGGAATCTTCCAAACTAAAAAAAGTTGATTCGTGGCATTTCTTTTTCATCCTTTTTTTAAATCTATACAGTTGTAATGATTCTAGATTTGCTGTGACATGATATATTTGACTTGCTTTTTCGAAATTAGCATTATCATACCTGAACAACATTGCTATAGTTTTTAATTTAATTTCCCCTTTCCACGCAGCCTTAGACAACGTTATTGACATTGAGAGCTCAAACAACACAATCAGTGAAGGTACGAGTTTTGAGGATGGCGTTGATTCTCCTCCCAGTGTCAAAATGGAATGTATAAAAGAAGGGGTTTCTGAAAATGGTATGGTAACATCAGTGCCAGTTCCTTTGTTAGAAATCAAGGAATTATACATAGAGGACTGCCTCCCTGAGCACTGCGCATGTGTAGACTGTCAACTGTGGAGGCCTTTATCGACGGATGGCATTTCCTGGCTTAAGTTCCGCGGCCGGGTACGAATTTTTGTGGAAAAGAAATACTTTGACTGGTTTATTCTCTCCATGGTGTTTTTCAGCAGCTTTATGCTGGTAGGTTATTTTATGCTGTGCATCTTTTAAGATCTTTAAAATGATTTACTTCATAGAAGCTATTTTGGCCTTGTCATTCTTTTATGATTTTATTATTTTTTTTTATGGCAACTAGTGGTCAGGGTGAGAGTTTATTACCCTGTTCCGCCTGGGACACCCGGAAGTGCAGCGTTCTGGCCACTTAGCCACGCTGAGATGTTATTTAAATGCAATCTCTTTAATCGTCAACAGTACAGTAAATGGAAAATGCTTACAAGGGTCTTATTAAAACTCGTAGGTTTTTGAAGACGTTAATCTGCACAAAAGGCCAAATCTCCAGAAAACCTTGGAAATACTCAACTACATTTTTGCATGTGTCTTTACGCTCGAGTTCCTACTTAAAGCCATAGCTTTTGGCCTCACGAAGTACTTCGCCTCTCCTTGGAACTGCTTGGATGCCTTTATTGTCTCAGTGAGTAGAACTTGAACTATTAAGCTCGCTACGATATAAACATTTGTATAAAGGCTGGATAAACGCATCGCTTATAGTATGTGTTTTACCTCACAGATTTCACTCGCCTGTCTATTTGAGAACAAGCAATTATCTGTGTTTCGTTCCCTACGTACATTACGAGCATTGAGACCACTCCGGGCCATCTCACGACTGGAGGGAATGAAGGTAATCAAAACTTGCTAGTGAAATGTCCCAGGGGAACTGAATTAAGTCATGTTAAGTCACTGTTTCTTGAAACAATGACCATGGTGATTTAGTTAGCTAGATAAGAAAGATCATCCTAAGGTAAAACAAAAGAATACAAACTGATGTGGTCCTCCTGATCAAGAACATACCCAAGCCAAGCTATCAAAGAGTTTGTCCGGTTTCGTTCTTAAATCGGGTGCAATAGCTTTTTGATGATGGACATGTTATTAAACAGACCGCCCGAAAACACAACACGGCGATTCGCGATTCACGATTCCATTCAGGTTTAATCCCCAAAGAAATCGTACCCAGTTCAATATAAAGTAAAACGTAGTTTCTTAGATGACTACTCAATCTCATGTGAAGGCATTAAACACTGTTTGTATTCTCCTTCTTAAGGTAGTGGTGAATGCGCTTTTTGCTGCTATACCAGGTATTGCAAATGTTCTGGTGGTTTCCCTTCTCTTCTGGCTCTTCTGGGCGTTCATTTCTTTGCTGGAAAATTCTACAAGTGTGTGGATGAAGACAACGCCCAGTTACCTGCCAGTATGATCGTCAGTAAAGCAGAATGTCTCAACCACACCATGGACGGATACCGCTGGATCAATTCCCAAGTGAATTTTGATAATGTCTTAGCAGGCTTCCTTGCACTGATGCAAGTTGTATGTTGCCACTTGTTTTTCTTTATTTTATTTTTTGCATTAACTTCTGGCTAATGACATTTACATATGCTACCATAGGCACTAAAGTGACGGTAAGGTTTGAAAAATCCCACCAGCCACATACCTTTAAAACTGGAGTTTGGTTATTTTTGTGTTGAGGGTATTGCATTAATTGTTTGTAAAAAGTACCGGTAATATTATAGGCGTTTTAGGTGAATAGCGTAAAAAACAGAGTTTAAAAGCTAGCATGGACGGCTTTAATATGAAAATAGGAGGAAACTCTTTGAAGCTAAACTAACCTGCAGTATATTTTCCCCGTGTGAGAATGAATCATTGTCATAGGTGTCGCTGTGGCGTTTCGTAAACATTAGATTGTGTTTCGGTTTTTAAAGGACATACAGCTGGCCCTTTCGTCGTACCACTTCTACGTAATTAGCGCTCATTCTGTTAGGTGTACAATACACTGCCTTGCATACTTAAGTAACGAAATCTCTCGCTGAATTTTGTGCTTATATGACGTGTTTTAGGCGACTTTTGAAGGTTGGATGGAAGTTATGAAAGACGCAGTCGACTCGACTAAGGTGAGTATCAAATTCTTCTTAGAGGAACATATTAAAATTGTTGCGTAGCTAAGCTCAAATAAAAATTTGGCCATTGTTTTCTTATCGGAGCTGATACGACCAAAAGCAGACCTCCTCATTTTCCATACCATGATTTAAAAGAGGCTGACACTATCATTCCTATGATCATGGTGTTACCTAGCTGCCTTTTAACTGGATGAATATCTCCTGCCAGGGTCCACACTCTTTCTGGTTTTCCACATGCGTTTTTGATCGGTTTAACGCCGAAATTACTTCTGAAATTTCTACATTTATCCTTTTTGGCATTTTGTGAATAACGTATACTGATCTTAGAATTTATGGGCTGGATTCATCTAAGCTGAAACATATGAAAGTGTGGGAACAACCCTTAGACATAAGGTCCTCTGGCTGTTTTTACAAGCGCGCCCTGGGAACGGACCACCATGATCAGGGGCGGATCCAGGATTTTTTCAAAGAGGGGATTGTAAGTATGAGAGTTCAAGGCAAACGTCCCGGGGCCAAGAAATGGGGGAGGGGGAGTTGGAGGGTAATGTTTGAATAAGTAGATTTTCGACATTTTGATTGAAGAGGTATAAATTTGTCAAATTTGAGACACTAATATTAAGGACTAAGAGTACAGAGCAAGAGCGATAGTTGTTTGTCAATCAGACTAGCTTGAAAGAGCCTTGTTGAAGGAGCCTTTACAAAGGCTTGCTGGCATATCTCGTCTTCCTCGAATCTCTCGGAGTAGTATGTGGCGATCTGCTGCGAGATCAGAGAATCGCTCTTCAGGCGTTGTTGACCTAGAGCAGGTCTGGATTCATTTCATCAGTGAAAACGACGGCTCAGCATCCGCGTTTGTGATCGTTAGGGTGCCAGCAATGACCAGAAGGCGACAGATGTTTGGAAAAGCATCTTCATCGCAAACACCAGGTGCTAATATGAGCTTGTTTGGAAGCTCCCTATCTGTTGACGACCAGAGTGTTTTCCATCTACTTAGTACCTAATTTCGAAGGGATTTGAGAAATGGAATATCTTTCTCCCGGAACGGCATGCTTTCTACTTCATCATCCAGCCGCAGTGCCTCAGTTACTATAATCGATGGCACGACACAAAGCAGATGGCGGGATTGGCGATCTTCGTCAGAAAATCGACCTTGCATTTGGATGATTAAGGAGTCAAGAGGAGGAATAGCTACAGTCTTCTTGTAACGATCGATTTGACTGGAACTAACATCATAACTTATAATATCTTTTGGGCATGAAAAAGGGATAGACATGGATAGCCAGACAAGGTTGAAAACTTCCCAAAGGGGGGATTGCAACCCCCTCAACCCTCCCCCTGGATCCACCTCTGCCATGGGAGTTGTATACATGTTCTTTTGGCCTAAGATCAAGTAGTTTGAAGTTTTCTGGTTTCGCTTTTTATCCACTGATATTATAACATGGTGTTAGGCCTTGATTTTCCAGACGAACTGCGAGGTGAGCTGACACTGAAAAATCCTCATGTTGACTGCCGTATATTCGACGCAGCCGAACTCCAGCAGTACGCGTTTAACACATCATCACTTACTGTTACCGAACGTTCACTTCATTTCTCTTAGAAAACTCAAGGTTCGAGCACTCGTTTTCTCAGCCTCCTCACTGTCCTGCCCTCGAAAAATATGCGACAAATGTAACGAGAGGACACCTTTCACGATTGTGCAAGAATAAAGTGCTGTAATGTGTTAGTGGACCATGAGCCTCCGCTTAATCACGATGTGCACACGAATTTTGGATCTCTTGTGCTGGATAGTGTATCTGGCACTCGAAAGAAAAAGATGCGGGAAAGGATGTACAGATCAAAGCAGTATCTTATTCCGAAGCTACAGTCATTTCCTATGAGCTGTACAAAGAAGTCAGAAGTTCAGCAATCTTTGAAGAGGTGGATTACATCTAAACCCATTCATCCAAAGAGCTGTGTGAGGCTTTCAACTTGATAAGGGAGTCGTGATATAAACCTGTTGTATCCTGTCGCTGATGGAAACTTTACACCATTGTTGGGGTGTGATGCTTGTTTAGACATAGAAGTTCTCAAACTGATAGATACTCCACAGTCAGAACCATCTGTGTAAGAAGCTCCAGGTGTTTTCCAAACTGATTCTGTGTTGCGGGACTTTGAGGATTGGTTCCATGATAAGCCTGGTAAGCTACCTAACAACGTACATTTAGAAGTTGATCCCTTGAAACCTCCAGTAGTTCGCTCTCCCAGGAAAAATTGCCCTCCTTGAACCAGCACGAGATGGAACGATGGAAGAAGATGGGAATATTAGAAGAAGAGGAGAAACATTCCCCTTAAGCTTTCTCTATACTAGTTTTTGACAAACGAAAAGTTAAAGAAAAGAATAATCCATCCTCAAACAATGATGTTCGAATTTGTATTGACTCAAGGGACCTATTAAAAGCACTTGAGATACCACACTATTCAATGGTTACGGGGAAGGAGGACGTTGCTAACCGACTTCCATGTGCTAAAAGTTTCATTTCCCTTGATGCATGCAGTGGGTACTGGCAGCTGCCAGTTAATGATAAAAGTGCAAAGCTCTTAACATTCAACAACCATGGTATCGATATCTACTGGAATGTACCAAAAAAGACGGTGGAAAATTCTTCGAAGGGGATCCTGCGGATGTTATAATGCATGATTTCCTGATACTTGGTGAATATCAACAGAAGCTGACGAGAACTTGAGAACAGTGCTGGATAGGAGCAGAGAAGTAGGACTGAAGTTTTATTTGGGTGTGTTTTTTAGCCATCGGCTGAGAACACATGTCCAACATAACTTACGTCTGGAAACCGAGGTTTCACTTTTTAGGGGGTTAAACTTCAGTTCTACTTCTTTGCTCCTGTCCAGTACTGTTCTCAACTTCTGGTCAGCTTCTGTTGTGTAAAGAGCGAGCAATCAGTGAGATGCCTCCTCTTACTGAAAATGGTGTGCTTTGTGTACTTGGGACCGTAAACTACCAGGACAAGTTCATTCATTCACTATAGTGCCTTTGTGCTAGCTCACTTTGATAACAGCATAGAAACAGTTCTAAGTGTTGATGCCAGTAGTACAGAAAATGGCCGTGATGGCTGATGCAGGATGGCAAACCAGTTGCTTTCAGTTTAAAGTCATTGACCGCCTCTGAGAAGATGTATGCAAATATTGAAAGAGAGCTGCTAGCTATTGTGTGGGGAGTGCTATTGTCGAGATAGATCACAAAACGCTGTAGTCAATCGTAACCAATGAATGAGGCCCCTCCCAGAATACAGAAGATGCTGCTGAAAGCCCTCAAGTATGACCTTGCTATGTACCAGGAAAACAGCAGATCATTTCAGATTGTCTGTTAGTTACCAACGTTTAAGTACTTTGGAATAGCGCTGCTTGGGCACACCACAGCCACTTGTGTCGTCAACAACTTGGAGAAAATATTTGCAAGGTTTGAAATCCCAGAGAACATTTTCAGCGACAACGGACCGTTGTTCGGCGCCAGAAATTTGCCCAGCTGTTAACTATAGTTTAAGAGTGGAGATATTGCTATGCAATCAGCTCACCATGGTATATTCAATCACATGGAGCAGCAGAAAAGTCTGTGCAGACTGCAAAACGCATTCTTAAGAAGGCTGCAGCAGAAGATGAAGATCCACTTGGGGGACCTTTAAACTGTCGCAACACACCATTTGAAGATATTGGCGTATCTTCTGCAAAGTTGCTGAGTTCGACGAACACGGACGATGATAACAACTCATCGACGTCTCTTGTTTACCTCAGCCGGTGGATCGTGATCGTGTTCTGAAAACTCTTCATCAGCGACGGCGTAGTGTCAAGTCTAGTTTACACAAGCAGATTAGTGATTTGCCTCCACTTGTAACCGTGCACAAGGTGCAAATAGTGATAGGAAATGGTGGAAAGCTGAGGTATTGCCAAGATCGTGCCTCCTGGAAGACTAATATGGATTTACTTACTGGAGAAATAGAAGGCAGATCATCTCAGTTCCAAATGATTGTCCTATGTCTCCAGTTTTCATCCTATGGGCGGTTTTCATGCAATCTCGAGAGACACAAATAACAATGGTGAAATGAACAAATGCTGGTGGACAAACAATGCGAGCTAATGAGCGATCTTTTGTTTACCGTCCACCAGCATGGCGGCAATGACGTAACGTGAAAACCACCTATACCTGAACAGCCTCGTGACACTCCTGCAAGTACACTGGCAGCTGAATCTTAGAAGCTAGCGCCAAGTCCATTGAAATTAGAATCGAGATCGACAGAAACAGTTTCACACA